ATATATTTTGGATATAGACCCCTTGTTGGACCTGTTGTTTGCAAATATCTTCTCCTGTTTGGTCAGTTGCCTGTTTGTTTTGTTGGCAGCTTCTGCTCCACAGAAGCTTTTTAGTTCGATAAAGTCTCTAGTATTTAAAAATAAACACTTTGAAAGGAGTGAAACATACTTCATAAAACTGAAAAGCAACAAAACCAAATAAATCTAAGACTCCGTACACTTAAAACATCTAATAGGTCATGAACTTTAATAGGATTGGTTGTCAGTTATTCTGAAACCATTGTGGGACAGAACAGATAAGTAGAGACTCATATGTAGGGGAACTGAAGTTCTCTGTACATACAAATACAGAGCAGAGTCGTGAGAAAGAGGCATGTGTTGTTTGAATTAGTAGTAGGAACTGCTGTCTACATGTATAAATGCCTAGAAGGAAATTTCACTTATAATCACCATTCTTCAATAAAATAAAGTAGGGCTCAGAAACCATGGTGGATTCGAGAGCCAGAGCAGAGACAATACCACGTGAAACTTCAGTATCTAGTTGTGCGAAAAGCAAGGAAGTGCTCAAAATATAACTGTATATCCAAGAGCTTAACCAAATATCTGGGTACCTCCTTTTCCAGTGATTTGGGCACCAAAAAAGGTGGTGAAGGGCAGATTTTTAAAAAATGTAAGACTCCCTTCTTCTCTCTACAAAAAAACAATAAAAACAAATTTAAAAAAAAAATAAATAAATCTGGCCAACTTGACCCCCTGCTGACTGATGAATATGACCATGATTGTATTTTATGCATAGACCAACTACAAAGACCAAGAGTTGACCTAAAGGAAAATCCTTTAGAAAACACTGAAATTAGCAGGTTTACGGATGGGTCAGACCTTAAGTCATTCAGAGGTCATTAACAAGCTGGATATGCAATGAGCTCTGAGGTCGAGATCACTGAGGCTGAGCCTCTCCCACAACAAGCTGAATTATTTGCTCTCACCAGATTCTGCATATTAGCAGAGGACAAAACAGCCAACATGTATTCTGACAACAGACATGTCTATGGAGTTGCTCATGATTTTGGGATGCCATGAAAATAGAGATTTCTTTCTAAAGCTCATTGGAAAAACAATAAAAAAATAAAACCTATGTAAAAGTTTTTTTAGATGCTATTCAAATACCAAAAGCATCAGGTATTATAAAAATTGGGGGGCATCCCCTGGCTGGTGTGCTCAGTGGTTAGAGCACTGGCCTGTGCAGTGAAAGGTCATGGGTTCAATTCCCAGTCAAGGACACATACCTGGGTTGCAGGTTTGATCCCCTGCCCCAGTCAGGGCACATGTGGGAGGCAACCAATAGATGTGTCTCTCTCACATCAATGTTTCTCTCTCTCTCTCCCTCCCCCACCCTTCCATTCTCTAAAAATCAATGGAAAAAATAACCTCGAGTGATTATTAACAACAACAACAAATTACCAGACACATGAGGGATGTTTCAAAATTAATAAGAGCTCATGCAATGGGCGACTGAGCTGCAAAAGCTGCTGCTATGCAGATGTCAAAAATCACAACTAATAGCCCGAGGTTCCTTAAAACTGAAACTGGCTCATGTATGCATGAACAGTGGACATGGACAACAATCTGGGGAAGGGCAGGGAGGGGAGGGGGGGGGGAATCAGTGGTGGAAAAAAGGAGAATCATCTGTAACAAAAATTAATCAATAAAAAATAAATTAATTAATTAATTAAAAAAAAAACTGAAACTGGGCCAGCTAATATTAGAAAAACCACACTATGCTTCCTTATAAAAGAAAAAAGCTGGAATCTGGTTGCAAATGTAATAGAGATATGGATCTCTGGCATGGGGCAACTGGCTGGGCTTACTAGAGGAGACTCAAGAAACAGTTGTAACATATTCATAAATTAACTATCTGGGGCCACCAATATTTCTAGAACCCTCTTCGAAAACCATCTCAAACATTTATATGAAGTGTTTTATTTGTTGCAAACATAATTCTGGAAAACCTTTACACAGCTCAATGGGACATTTTCCATTACTTTTGAGGCTTCTTGGAACTGGGCAACTGGGTTTTGTTCAGTTACCTCCAGTATCTGCAGCCGACAGATGTTTCTCTCTTACATTGATGTTTCTATCTCTCTTTCCCTTCCTCTCTCTCTCTAAAAAAAATAAAAACATTTTAAAAAAGAAAAAATAACACCGTTATAAAAGAGATCCCTACCCCTTCCTCTGTGTTGGGACGGGGCAATCAGGCACCATCTGTGAACCAGGAAGCGTGTTCTCAGCAGACACTGAGTGGGCCAATGCCTTGATCTTGGACTTCCAGCTTCCAGAACTGTGAGAAATACATTTCTGTTTGTAAGCCATCGAGTTTATGGTGTTTTTGTAATAGCCCAAACTGAGTGAAGATGCATGGTATACATTTTTCCAATTTTTTTTTTTTGCTCAACTTGTCTATATCTTTAAATAGCCCTACATATGAACAATTTCTCTTAAAACAACATGATTTTAAACAAATATCCAGCTTGTCAATCCCTGCCTTTTTTTTTTAATCCTCACCTGATGAATTGTATGGTATATAATTTCAATAAAGCCATCTTTTTAAAAAATGTTTTACTGATTTTTTGAGAGAGAGAGCCGGGAGAGAGAGGTAGAAACATCGATGTGAGAAACATCGATTGGCTGCCTCCTGCACACCCCCCACTGGGGACCAAGCCTGAAACCCAGGCATGTGCCCTAACCAGGAATCAAACAGGGACTTCTCTGGCCATGGGACGACCCTCAATCCACTGAGCCACACTGGCCAGGCAGAGCTATCTTTCTTTTATTTTTATTTATATATTTATTTACTTTTTAATCCTCACCAGAGGATATTTTTCCATTTATCTTCAGGTAGAGTGGGAGGGAGGAGAGGGGGTGGGGAAGAGACATCCATTTGCTGCCTCCTGCACAACCCGACCAAGGCTGGGGACAGAACCGCAACTGAAGGAGGTGGCCTTGACTGATAATGAACCAGAGACTCTTTGGTCCTTGGGCCAATGCTCTAACCGCTGAGCCACACAAGCCAGGGCAAAGCTATCCTTTTTTTAAAGAGGATGTTGTCTTAGGGTGGAAGTCTGATTGAAATCGATGACACTCTCTTCTTCCCTATTCAGGAAGCAGTTGGATGTTCGAGATCATCCACTCAAGGGAGGTGCCAGGTGGGAACCATCTGTTGTCAACTAGGATCAATAACCATAGCTAGAAAATAAATCCAGGCCGGAACAAGTAAAGAATCAGAAAGGCTTATGCTTGCATCTCCCCATTCGATTCTTCCTGAAGTCATTCTTCAAGTCCAAGGCTCAGGGGAAGCAAATCATGCAATGTCAGTTTGGATCACTTCTCGGGCTGTCCTAAATGCCTGTGGGGGGTGGGAGGGCAGATTCAAAATCTGATTCATTAAGTAAGCATGTTAGAAAACTTTATTCAAAGCTACATATTCATGTATTTGCTCATCTCTTGGGTGTTGCTCCAGAGAACACTCAATTTTCCTGAGCTACACAGACCTCTGCTGCCCCCTAGTGTAAAGCGCCCTACATTGAGCTGTCGCTGGGGAAAGCAGCTCAATTGTCCATCATAACCCACAATTCAGAAGAAATAGGAGTGTTCACATTTGAAACCCAGCTGGGTTCCTCTAATCATGACCTCTATGTAAGGCATTCCTTTCCCAGTTGTAAGAGCTCCACAAACCTCTGATGCATAATTTCAGGAGCTCTACAGTAAGGTTCTAACTTTGAACATCCCTAAGTCTCTACTCTTCTTAAATGATATCAAATAAAGCCCGTTAAATAACTACATGAATCGCTTTCAACCCATCTTATGTGATGTGGTAGTGGATGCATGGTGAAAGTAGTCTTACATCACAGTGTGTTCTATGTTTTATATGTTATATGACTACTCCATGATATATAAATGTCATACGCGTGTTCATGAATGGTGTACTGGGTTTCTATGTGTCTGCTTGTTTACTGGGTCGCTTGTTGGACTGTGATCTCCACGACCCTGAGGACCATCTGTATTTTGTTAGCATTCTAGCATTTCCCCCCAACTTGGCGAAATACGTGGCACATACAATCTGAATGTCTCCCCCACACACACACCTAAGGACACACGCAAAACACAACACAGTAAGGGTATACCATCACGGCCACGGAGTCACACGCGGTCACGACACGCACAGTCACGCCCACAAGGCTGGATCGGTCCACACCTCCTCTGTCTCACGGACTCGGGATCACCCAGCCGCCACCTCACACAGCGGTCTCCTCACGCGTCGCCACGGTAACGGGCCGCAGGGCCTCCTGGGAAATGGAGTCTCGGCACCGCGAAGGCTCCACGCAGAGGACTCTGGGGCTCCTCCTTCAATGAGGGCGCAAGTGAGATTCCACTCCGGGCCTGAGGAACACCCCTCCGCCCCTCTCCCGGGTCGGTTCTGAGCGGCGCTGAGCCCCGGAGGTTTCCGGCAGTGAGCTCGCAATGCGCAGGCGCGGATGCGCGCGTCAGCACCCGCGGGTGAAAAGGGCTCCAAGCGCCGTTAGTCCGAGAAGCGCCCGGATGGGAACACGCAGGCGCGGAAGCCGGGAAGGGCCGCAGCGTCTGAGACCGTCCCCGCGATTTCACCAGTGGCGTGAGGCCGGGCCAGTGTGCGGGGCCAGCCGTGCGTACTACGTGGGTCGGCGCAGGGACGGTGACGCCCCCCAGTGGCTCTGCCTGCGTGCGTGCTGGGGTTCGCGACGACGTGAGCGGGATGGGGCCTCAGGCCCGTTTCCGTGGTTCGTCCTCGGAGAGGTGCGTGCGGACGCCGGGAGCCGCGTGGTTTTGTTTAGGGGCGGGGCCTCGCGCTCCTGAGGAGGCTCCGGGGGCGGTCCTGCGCGTGAGGGGCGGGGCCCCGGAGCGGAGTGCGCAGGCGCAGTACGGCCGCGCGGCGTGCCTGCGCAGGTGTCAGGGTCTCCCGGAGCGACCCGAGAGGACCGAGGTGAGCGTGAGCCTGGGTGTCGGTGCTCCCGCGACTGCGTGAGGGCGAGACGCTGCGAGGGGCTTTCCGCCTGCCACCGGCTGTGCGGCGGTCTCCTGTGCTCGGGGCTGTTCGTCGGGGGCTGCCGTGCGCTCGTGCGTGTGGTTGTGCCGTGGGCTGCGTGTGAGGTGAAGGGCCGTGACTAGGTGAAACGTGTGATGGCGGGTGTGCGGTGAGGGGAGGGGGTGTGTGCGTGTGTGTGCGTGAGTGTGCGTGAGTGTGCGTGAGGGACTCGGCCGCGGCTGGCCGGCGCGCGACCCAGGACCGCGTGTTTCACTGGGGTCTGTGCTGTTTCTAGGAGCGAGAAGTGACTGGGCCTGTGTGGGCCGGAGTGAGTGGGCCCGTGGGCGTGGCCCTGCGCATTTGTGTTGAGAGCGCGCGTGTGTGTGACAGGCCGTGGCCGTCGTCTGGGGCGGCCTCGGTGACTGTGCAACCCAGTGTCAGTGGCTTTGCCGTTGCGAGCGTGTGACTGTGCCGCCCCGGTGTGTATCTGCTTTGCCGTTGAGAGCGTGTGACTGTGCCGCCCCGTGTGTACCTGCCCGTAAGTGGAAGGGGGTCCCCGCGGGGAGGATTCCGAGCGGCCGCAGGGGCGCCCTGGGCCCTGGGGCAGGGGCACTTGTGCGGTTGTGGGAGGCTTGCCCCCTGGGAAGAGTAGGGTGGTAACACCCTGCCTGCGTGACAGGAAGAAAAAGCGGGGTAACAGGTGAGACACCCAGCACTTACTGAGCACTGTGTAGATGCCGAGTATTGGTTGTGGTGCCTGGTGGTCGTTTTTCTCTGACTCGGTGCAGGGATAGGGGTGCAGTGGATGATGCTGGAGGAGTCTTATCTGGGAACTTGACCCTGGGCGCTCGTGGGTGAAGCCGAGGGTCTGCCCTTTCCCAGTTACGCAGCAGCACCCCAGCAGCAGAGGCACAGCGTTTGAAGGGAAGGCCGAGCAGAGCACCGCGACCACTGGCTCCTTCGACTATATAACCAGTGGAGCTGGGACTCTGGTTTCATCACTCACTAGTGGTGTGACTTTGGGAGAGGTCACTTAAATCCGCGGCCCTGCGTTTCACGTGCAAAATGGAAATAATTAATCCCAGGCTCGTGGTGAGCACTGAGTGGAACAGCACTGGATACAAGCAAGGCATAAATGACAGTCGCTTTATTATTATTATTATTTATTTTTTTTATCCTCACCTGAGGACACTTTTTCATTCTTTGTTCAGATAGAGCAGGAGGGAGAGAGAGAGAGAGAGAAACATCGATGTGAAAGGGACACATTGAGTGGCTGCCACCCACACGACCAACCAGGGCCGGGGACAAACTGCAACCGAGGTACATGCCCTTAGCGGGAACCGAACCCGGGTCTCTCCGGACCTCAGGCCAACGCTCCAATCGCTGAGCCAAACTGGCCAGGGCGATAGTCGCTTTATTATTAACATCATGACAGGAAGGACACCCAGAGAATAAAATCCACAGGAAAAAAAAAAGCAAAAAGTGGAGCCCCACAGTAAAGGCTTCAGGACAGAGATAAAATAACCTGAAAGTCTAGGTCAGAGCTTGGATTTCGAATTTTCTATTCAGGGTCCCAGGAAGGCAGAAGCAGGGTGAGGGAGGCCTCCCCCAACCTGACCACCCCATCTCTATCCCCTGCCCTGGTCCCTTTTTTTCTTTGTAGCAGTGATCTCAGCTAACAGTTTTGTGTGGACTTGTCTTTTCTGTTGGAATGTAGTGAGCATGAGAGCCAGTACTTATCTGCTCTAAGTCACTGCTCTCCCACCACGACCCCCACACCTGGGACAGCACCTGACACTTGGTAGGTGCTCAGTACATATGTCAAGTGGATGAACAGGCAGCCTGTGTGTGTCTCATTTGCCTCCTGATCCAGAGCCTTCTGTGATCTTAAGAGCTGGTATCATTGGCTGTGGCCCCTCCCTGACTGTGTAATGGAGTAGGAATGCTCTAGATATTCTGACCTTTCATGTGCCCATGAACTCATGTATGTCCAGGGTGAAGGGATCTGGGGTTCTTACCCTACATGCTCAAGGTCTACCCAGAAGGCCAGTCAGCCTCCTGACTTCTCTTCTTTTTCTTTCTTTCTTTTTTTTTTTTTTTTTTTGTGGTACGTGCCCTTAGCGGGAACCGAACCTGGGACTCTCTGGTCCACAGGCCGATGCTCAACTGCTGAGCCAAACTGGCCAGGGCCTGACTTCTCTTCTACTGCAGCTCCACCTTCCCAGTGTGCTGCCCCTCCCCAGACTCCGACTCAGTGGGGAGGAAAGGATGCCAGCCATGCCAGCCACACGAGGGAAGTGTAAGTCCAAGGTAAGCAGCCATTCCTCTTCCTTTAGGAAAGTTCCATCTTGTAAGACGTAGATTGTTTGTTTTCCCTCCACGACACTTCCTGCCCAACAGAGACCCAATCAAGACCTGATCCCCAGGTTCCTCCCATCACCACAGAGGGTGGGACTGTGAGAAGGGCCCCCTCTCTTTTTTTCTCAGGTGCACATGACGACTCCCCTGTTTGTTCAGCGCCTTGAGGGTCCCTGGCAGCACTGGGAAAAACACCTCCCCAGAGGGAAAACCACAGCCACTGATTTCTCCAGTGGAGAGGCAGCCCATGTGAGGCAGAGGGGGATTCCGTGTTGCCCTCCAGAGCTTACCTAATGTCACCTGGTTTTTACTTGTACAACCCATTTTACATGGAGGAAATCTCTCTGACTTTAAGAGATGCCCTGGCCAGTGTGGCTCAAGTGGTTGGATCATTGTCCTGTACACCAAAAGGTGGCAGATTCAATTCCCAGTCAGGACACATACCCAGGTTTCAGGTTCAATCCCCAGTCGGGGTGAGTACGGGAGATAGCCATTCATTGTTCCTCTCTCACATGGATGTTTCTCTCTCTCCCTCAGCCAGTTAGCCAGAAGGAGAGAGAGAAACATCCATGTGAGAGAGATACATCCATCAGCTGCCTCCTGCATGCCCCCTACTTGGGATCAAGCCTGCAACCCGGGAATGTGCCCTGACCGGGAATTGAACTAGGACCTCTCAGTACATGGGACGACGCTCCATCCACTGAGCTGCACCGGCTGCACTATAAAAACGTATTTTTAAAAAATATTCTCAGGTGAGGATTTAGAAAGGAAAAAAAAAGTAACTCACCTAATTGTTCAGGTTGAATGCATTGGAGCCAGGCCTCTGAGGTGGTAACATCAGCCTCCTGTGAAGAGATGGCTCCAGTAGATGATCAAGTGATTTTCTACAATACGCATCTTGGAGGCAGTTTCTCATATTCTCGTAACAGCTTAGCCCACTGAGGATTTTTTTAATCCTCACCCAAGGATATGTTTTTATTGATTTTTAGAGAGAGAGAAACATCAATCAGTTGCCTCCTGGACACACCCCAAACAGGGATTGAACCCTCAACCTTTTGGTAGAGGGGATTTTGCTCCAACCAACTGAGCCCCCTGGCCAGGGCTATTTGTTCCCTGTTGCTGCTACAATATTACCACTAACTTGACAGCAGGCATTTATTATCTCCCAGTTCCTGGGTTGGAGCTCTGGTATGCCATGGCTTACTTAGCTGGGGCCTCTGCTTTGGGCCTCACAAGGCTGAAATCAAGGTGTTGGCTGGCTTCCATCTCACCTACTCCTGCTCCTTCTCCCACCTTCCATGTGGCCCCTTCTTCCATCTTTCAATGAGCAGCAGCAGGTCCAGTCCAGCTCATGCCTCAGATCTCTTTGCCTTCCCTTTCTCTCCTGGTCCACCACCAGTTGGAGAGAAGTCTGCTCTTTTGGGTCTACCTAGATTCCAGTCCTTGATAATCTCCCTGTTTTAAGGTCCACTAATTAGTAAAACCTTGATTATACTTGCAAAGAGCCTTTTGCCATGTGTGATATATTCACAGGCCTTTTAGTGAGCACGTAGTTGGTTGGGAGCAAGGAGTCAGAAGCCAGACTGCCCAGCTCCTCCATTCAATAGCTGTGAGAACATCAGTAAGTCATCTCACCTCCCTGTCCTCCCTTCTCTCGTCTGTCACAGTGCTGTGATCCTCTCAGTGGTGCCCGGTCACTGCTAACAGCACTAAATGGGCCAGTACGTGTAGGAACTTGGAAGAATGCCTGGACTCTGTCAGGGTCCAGTAAGTCCAAGTTGATACACCTTTTATGGAACACAATCTTTAATATCACACTGCACTGCATTTTATTGATGTTAATACGCCTGCCCCTTTTGGGCTCAGAACTCCAGATGTTTCCTGAGTAGATTCCCAGCCCCTTGTATCCCCAGTGTTTGGGATAAGTCCACTGTCTGCTCCAGGCGTGTGGAAACACGAGTCTACCATGACAGGATGTGGGACTTTCCATTTCAGGCACCAGTGACATTTGGGGATTTGGCCATCTACTTCTCCAGGGAAGAGTGGGAAAGGCTGAGCCCCACACAGAAGGATCTGTATGAAGATGTCATGCTGGAGAACTACCAGAACCTGGTCTCTCTTGGTGAGGCTCTCCCCCAACCCTGTAATCCACCACTGGCCCTTTGAGGGACGGGAATCCATCAGTCTGTCAGGAATACAGAAGCCACTCCAGTTTGGGTTTGTTTTCTTTTTAACAGCTTTATTGAGATATAATTCGCATACTATACAATTCACCCATGTGACGTATACAGCTCAGTGGAGGATTTTTTTGTTAATCTTCACCTAAGGATATTTCTTTCCATTGTTTTTTAGAGAGAGTGGAAGGGAGGGAGGGAGCGGGAGCCAGAAAGAGAAACATGGATGTGAGAGAGACACATCAATTGGTTGCCTTCCACACGTGCCCCGACTGGGGCTAGGGATCGAACCTGCAACCCAGGTATGTACCCTTGACCAGGAATACAACCCCGAGACCCTTTGGTATGCAGGCCAACACTCTAACCTGAGCAGCACTGGCCAGGGCTCAACTCAGTGGCTTTTATTATATTGACAGAGCTGTGCATCCATCAGCAGTCAATTTAGAATATTTTCATCACCTCCAGGAGACACCCATACCCAATAGCACTCTCTCCATTTCCTCATGCCTACTAATCCCCCCAGATTAGGCAAACCCTATTCCACTCTCTGTCTCTATGAATTTGCCTGTTCTTGGCCTTTCATAGAAATGGAGTTGTACAATATGTGGTCCTTTGTGTCTGGCTTCTTTCACTGAGCATCGTGTTTTCAAGGTTCATTCATACTGTAGTGGGTGTGAGTACCTGGTTCTTTTTTATGACCCAATAACATTCCACTGTATAGACCACATTTGTTTATCCATCTGTCAGTTGAAGGGCATTTGGGCTGTTTCCAGTCTGCTGCTATGATGAATGTGCTGCTATGAACATCTGCGTGTGAGTTTTTGGGTGGATGCATATTTTCACTTCCCTTTGGTATGTAGTAGGAATGGAATTGCTGGTCATATAGTGAGGACACCTCACTTGTGTTAAGAAAGAGCGAGCTTAATATCAGGAATTGACTTAACAGGTACTGTTAAAAAATGTGAATAGTGGACACTGGGGTAGTGCAGAGGTGGTAACGGCAGGATGCAGCCACCCTCCCAGGGAAAAGGGGAGAGTTTGGGGTTTTCAGGATTTAGAGGGACACAGACTGATGCAGGAGGAGAGGGATGCACTGCCTGGTTTTACTCCTGAGGGGGCAAGATGAGGCTAGCTCTGGGAGTGAATGGGAGAGAAAGAACAGCAGAAATCGAAACCACCAGAGCCCCTACTAGTGGCTGGTGAAGGAGAGGTGTGATGTACCGAGCCCCTCCACCAAAATTAGATCAGAGAAGGGTCAGAGGCTGAAAGGCAGTAGCTTAATGACCAGCCTCGAGTTCCTGCTCCAGCTTCTCAGGAAAGCAGTTGGCCCTGTAGAGTTAGAAAGGAAAAACTCTGCTGGCTATTCCTGCATTTTCATCCTCCTCATTCTCCGGCTGCCCTTCACCTCCTCCCTGCTCCCTTTGTGCTGATAAATCCCCATTCCCATTGACACAGGGCTTGGCTGACATCGTGGCATCTATATCATGCTCAATCCCAATGTTTTCCCATGTGCAGGACTTTCCTATCGGAGGCCAAATGTGATCACCTTATTGGAGAAAAGGAAAGCACCCTGGATGGTGGAATCCACGAGAAGACGCTGGGGCCTTGGTGAGTGACAGAGAACCAGGGCTTAGAAGTTGGCATTCTGGGTAAGAGCGTACTCCCTTGTGAGAGCACCACCCCTGTAAGATCACACTTGAGAGCCACTTTCCCCACCTCGGAGGCCCCAGGCATGTGTAGAAATTCAAGTCTCTTTAGTGTGGCAGCCCCCTACCAAGGGATAATGACTAACATTTTATAAACCCTTCCTGGGTATCAGACATTCTAAATACAGGTTTCTCCCAACAATGCTATATAAGGAAAGTACTATTATTCCTATTTTATGAAGGAGGAAACTGAGGACCGGAGAGCTTCAGTGACTTGCCCAAAGTCACCCAGCTAGGAAGGGGTAGAAGAGCTGGATTTGAACTCCAGCTTTTAGTCTCAGAAGCTCAGATCTTAACACCCTCATCCCCACCCATCCCCTGCCTCAGTTTCCATATTTCCCTTCAGAGAAAGTATATTCTGACTTCTTTAAGGATAGCACTTCTAGTGATAATGTTCCCACATGCATCGTTTTCTTCATCTCTTAAAAAAATTAAAAATCTTTTTCATAACTGCTCATTGTGACTACTTTGTAAGAACCCATTCCCTTTTCTAATAGATTTCTCTTTGGTTGGTCAAGGTGTGTGCTTGGTTTGTTTGTTTGTTTGTGTCTTACACTTCTATGAGGTTTTTTAATTGTGGTTAAAAAAAGTATAACATTAAATATACGATCTTAACCATTTTTAAATGTACAGTTAAGTATATTCACATTGTTATGCAGCAGATCTCTAAAACTCTTCCCTCTTGCCATACTGAAACTTTGTGCCTTCTAAATACTAGTTGTCCCCCAGCCCTTGGTAACCATCTTTCTGCTCTCTGTTTCTATAATCTTGACTACTGTGGATATTTTATATGAGTAGAATCATACAGCACTTGACCTTTTCTGACTGGCTTTTTTAACTTAGCTTCATGTCCTTGAGGTTCATCCATGTTGTAGCATGTGACAAGATTTCCTTCTTTTTAAAGGCTACATAATATTTTGTTATATATAAAGTTGGCCCTCCATATCCTGTTCCACATTCGCGAATTTAACCAACAGTGGATTGAAAATACTTGGGGGGAGCCCTGGCCGGTTTGGCTCAGCAGTTAGAGCATCAACCTGCGGTCCAGAGAGACCCAGGTACGGTTCCTGCTAAGGGCATGTACCTTGGTTGCAGTTTGTCCCCAGCCCTGGTTGAGTTGTGTGGGTGGCAGCCACTCGATGTGTCCCTTTCATGTCGATGTTTCACTCTCTCTCTCCCTCTCTCTCCCTCCTACTCTATTTGAACAAAAAAAAAAGAAAGAAAAATGTCCTCGGGTGAGGATAACAAGAAAATATTTTGAGGAAAAATGCCAGCATGTGCTATATAATTAGGCATCTGTACTATTATGTAATGGTTGCATCTGTACTAAATATGTGCACACCTTTTTTCCTTGTCATTATTCTTTTAACAATGTAGTATAATAACTATTTACACAGCATTTACATTGTGTTAGGTATAATAAGTAATCTAGAGATGATTTAAAATTTATGGGAGGATGTGTGTAAGTTATATTGCAAGTACTATGACATTTTATATAAGAAACTTGAGCATCCGTGGATTTTGGTATCCATGGGAGTCCTGGTACCAATCCCCCGAGGATACTGAGGAATGACTACCTCATTTTAAAAATCCATTCGTCTGTTGATGGACATTTGGGTTGCTTCCACCTCTTGGCTACTATAAATAATGCTGCAATGAACATGCGAGTGCAAGTATCACTTTGTGATCCTGATTTCAATTTCTTTGGATATGTACTCAGAAGTGGGATCATGGGATCATATGGTAGTTCTAGTTTTAATTTTCTGAGAAACCTCCATACTGTTTCGCACAGTGGCTGCACCATGTTTCATTTCCCCCAGTGGTACACAAGGGTTCCAACTTATCATTTTTCCAACAATTATTTTCTGGGGTTTTGTGTTTGTTTGTTTGTGTATTTTTATTATGGCCATCCTTATGGGTGTAAGGTTTGATTTGCATTTCCATAATGATTAGTGATGAGCGTCTTTTCATGTGTTGATTAGCCATTTGTCTATCTTCTTTGGAGAACCGTTTACTAAAGTCCTTTGCCCATTTTTAATAGGATTGTTCTTTGTGGTTCAGTTGTAGAATTTCCTTATATATTCTGCATATTAATCCCTTATCAGATATGTGATTTGCATTTATTTTCTCCCATTCCTCAGGTTTACTTTTCATTCTGTCTTGGTGGATGTTCCATGTGAGCTTGAGAAAAATATAATTCTGCTGTTGTTGGATGAAGTAGTCTATAGAGGTCGATTATATCCAGTTGAATGATGGTATAGTTGAGTTCTATGTCGTTACTGATTTTCTGCCTGCTAATCTGTCCATTTCTGAGAGGGGGTTATTGAACTTTCCAGCTGTGACAGTGGATTCATCTAGTTCTTTTGGCAGGTCTATCAGTTTTTGCCTCAATTAGGTTGATGCTGTGTTTTTATGCACACACACATTATGATTTGTTATGTCTTCCTGAAGAATTGACCCCTTTATCACTATGTAATGCCCCTCTTTGTGTCTGATAACTTCCCTCTGCTGTGTATGAAACTAACATAGCTACTATTGCTTTCTTTAGATTAGTATTAGCATGGTATAGTTTTCTCCATCCACTTACTATTAATCTCATGAATCTTTATGTCTAAAGTGGGTTTCTGATAGACAACATACAGTTTGTTCGTGTTTTTTGATCCATACTGACAGCCTCTTTTAATTGGTGCATTGAGACCGTTTACATTCATAGTGACTATTGATATAACTGATATGTATTATCAGAAATGAATATATAGTAACCATATTTGTTACTATTCTCTATTTGTTGTCTTTATTCTTTGTTCCTATTTTTGACTTCCACTTTTACCTTTTGTGGTTTTACTTTTTTTTCTATTTTTCATTAATTTTTTTTCATTTCACATGATTCTATTTTCTTAGCATATCACTTATATAAATATATATATATATATATATAACTTTTTTTAGTGTATGCCCTAGAGTTTACAATATACATTTACAATTAATCCAAGTCCACTTTCAAGTAGCACTGTACCACTTCATGGTTAGTGTACCTTATAATAACAAAATAATGCTATTTCTTCCTCCCATTCCCAGTATCATTGCTGTCATTCACTTCATTTAAGATAAATGCATAAGTATACACAATCATATACATTGTTGTATTATTATTTAGAACAAACTGTTATCTGTTAGATCAATTAAGAATAAGAAAAGCCCTGGTTGGGTGGGTCAGTTAGTTGGAGTGTCATTCCATGCACCAAAATGTTGAGGGTTTGATTCCCGGTTGGGGATCATACAGGAGGTAACCAATTGCTGTTTATCTCTCTCTCCTTTCTGCTCTCTAAAAATCAATAAAAACATATCCTCGGGTGAGGATGATGAAAAAAATAAGATAAGAAAAGTGAGAGGATTTTTTGCCTTCACTTATTACTTCTCCATTGTTCTTCCTTTCTCCGGACCGCAGGCCGACGCTCTAACTGCTGAGCCAAACCGGCCAGGGCTTCTTCCTTTCTCTGTATAGGTCCCAGTTTTTTATCTATATTATTTTCCTTCTCTCTAAAATAATCTCTTTTTAACATTTTTTTTTCTTTATTGGTTTGAGAGACAGAGGGAGAGAGAGATAGAAATATCGATGAGAGAGAACATTGATTGGCCATCTATTGCATGCCCCCCACTAAGGATCAGGCCCATAACCTGGGCATGTACCCTGACCGGAAATTGAACCAGCAACCTCTTGGTGCATGGGTTGACACTTAATCACTAAGCCACACTGGCTGGGCTTTTTTTAACATTTCTTGCAAGGCAGTTCTACTGGGAACAAATTCTGTTGACATTTGTTTGTTTGATAAAGTCTTTATTTCTCTTTCACTCTTGAAGGATAGTTTCACAGAGTACAGAATTTAAGTGAGTGGTTTCTCTCTTCAAAAGAGAGTTCCCAAATGGCTCTTGCAAAAATGAGTGTTTAGTTAAAAGCTCACCCTACCTCAAATTTAATCAGCCTAATGAAATTTAAATTTCACAGTATTATTTTTTCTTAATATTAATTCTGGGCAAATATCAAAAGGGTTCAAGCAGTTTTAAATTTCTAATGTTTTACAATTTTCACTACTCTTAGCATTTCAAAGAGCTACTTTAGTCATTTTAAATGACTATTAATTTTTATATTCATAAGGAACATGTATATTTCAGAAAATGACAAAAATCATAATGAAGGAAAATACTACTACAGTCCTTTCTCTCAGAAAGGACACTTTCTATTTAGATGTACAGCTTCCAGATATTTTCAGCTTATAAAATGGGATTGTTCTTGTAGTAAAGTTTGATTAACTAATTTTTATACTATATTCTAGTAAATTTTCTGTGTCAGTTCAACTTAGCTTCTTACATGACAATTAAAAAACTAAAAATAAAACAAATATATAATTTGTTGATGTCTTTCAGACTCAGGGGCTAAATGTGAGACCAAGAAGTTACACCCAAAGCATTGCAACAAATCTGGGCAAAGCATCTATCAGAAACCAGTTTCTGCATCACAGAAAGGTCCCATAGGAAAGAGAGGCTGCAAGAAAAAGTCAGTCCTAAAAAGACCCAAGAAAGTGCATCCAGGGAAGAAATCTTTAAAATGTAATGACTGTGGGAAAATCTTTAGTCAAAGCTTATCTCTTAAACTTCATCAGAATTCTCATACTGAAGAGAAGCCTTATGAATGCAGTAATTGTAGAAAAGCCTTCAGACAGGTCTCATCCCTCATCCTTCATCAAAGAATTCACAATAAAAGAAAAAGCCATGACTATGGTCAGTGTGGGGAAAGCTTTATTCAAAGAACAACTCTTATTCTTCATAAGAAAGTTCATGCTAGAAAGGAAACCTTTGACTATAGAAAGGCCTTGAGTCAGTACCCAGCCCTCAGGATACATCAGAAAATTCACCTTATTGAGAATGCCCACCGGTGCAGAAGATGTGGGAAAGCCTTCATTCAAAGATCATCCCTTTTCCTTCATAAGGACATCCACAATGGAAAGAAAATGCATGAATGCAATAAATGTGGGAAAGATTTCCATAATAAATCAGTCCTTGTACATAAAGGAATTCACAGTGGAGAGAAAACCCACGAGGGTGAGAAAGCCTCAAGTCAGCAGAGAAGTCACTATTTAGAGAACCCTTATAAATGCAGAAAATGTGGGAAATCTTTTAATAGGATTTCATCCATCCTGCTTCATCAGAGAATTCATACTTCAGAGAAACCCTACAAATGTGATAAATGTGAGAAGGTCTTCAGGCGGTTTTCAACCCTCATTCTACATCTAAAAATTCATAATGGAGAGAAACTGTATAGATGTAATAAATGTGAGAAAGTCTGTAATCGGCATTCATCCCTTATTCAGCATCAGAAAGTTCATACAAGGAAAAAGAAACTGTTTGAATGTAAGGAATGTGGGAAGATGTTTTCTGAAACTGCCAACCTTAAAATACATCAGAACATTCATTCTGAAGAGAAACCTTTCAAATGCAATAAATGTAGTAAAGTTTTCGGCCGCCAGTCATTTCTTATTGAACATCAGAGAATTCATACTGGAGAAAAACCCTATCAGTGTGAGGAATGTGGAAAAGCCTTCAGTCATCGAATATCTCTTACTCGACATAAGAGAATTCATACTGAAGACAGACCATATGAATGTGATCGGTGTGGAAAGGCCTTCAGTCAGAGTGCTCACCTTGCCCAACATGAAAGAATTCACACTGGAGAGAAACCATACATGTGCAAAACATGTGGGAAGGCCTTTAGTCAACGCACGTCCCTTATTCTACATGAAAGAAGTCATACTGGAGAGAAACCCTATGAATGTAATGAGTGTGGGAAGGCCTTTAGCAGTGGCTCAGACCTTATCCGGCATCAGAGAAGTCATTCCTCAGAGAAACCCTATGAATGTAGTAAATGTGGGAAGGCATACAGTCGAAGCTCATCCCTGATTCGACATCAGAATACACATTTGGAAGGAAAAGCCTAAGATTACAAAAGCAAGGACTGAGTCTCAAAGTAGCAGAGACAGAGGCATGGGGAAATGCATTTGTCTCAACCATAATTTTGTAAAAATGGGACCATTTGATGATGCATCTCACTTTGAAAGCCAAAGGGCAAACGTCCTTGGTGACTTTGACCTGGAAATTTTAAATTAACTGAGGCAGTGAATTTATAATAGGTCTTATTGAAGCTCAGATGTTTGGATGGGTCATTTTTTATAAAGACCATTCTTCATTTGATAAGAATCACTGATATTTTATTTCCACTGTAGTTTTCAAGCTATGTCAAAGTGGAATTGTAGCTATTGCACTGGTCACACACAAAGTAGTATTGTCCATTTTTGTGGATGGGGCTTTGAGCCTGATTTAATATCACATGCAAAAAAAGTTAGTTTGTCCCTTAGAACAAGAATTATCATATGTAAGGAAGAGACTTTCTGGAAAACCAGGGTGCCACTTTCAGCTGACAGAAATTTTGGGGTGATAAAGAAATATCGAGTGGATAAAGATGACACTCACCATTGAGTGGAGCAAAGAGACATTACCATATTATCTCCTTAGAAATGAAGATATATAACCTTTGTGATGTGAAAAATTTAACAAGCCTGATAGGCTAATAGGAACACACACACACACACACAGGATATACTGAAGAACGAGGAACTTCAGAGCAGGGAGAAATTATTTGTTGTTTTATTTGAAAATAAATTTGTCTATTTATATTAATAAACATTGATGTTTTCATGTAAGAACACTGGTATGCAATAATTGTTGTACCAAATGTGTCTCCCCCCAAATTCACATGTTGAAGCCCCCCCCCAATGTAATGGTATTTGGAAATGGGGCCTTTGAGAAGTAATTAGGGTTAGAGGGTGGAGCCATCATAATGGGATTCATGTCTTTAAAGGAGAACACCAGAGAGATTCGCTTTCTCTCTCTGCCAGGTCAGGACACAGGAAGAAGACAGCTCTCTACAAGCCAGAAGTCTAGCCCTCACCGGTATCCAACCATGCTGGCACCCTGACCTCAGACTTTCAGCCTACAGAACTATGAGAAATAAATTTATTTAAGCCACCCAGTCTATGGTATTTTGTTATGGCAGCTCAAACCAATGGATACAAGTGAAAACCTCTGGATTTATGTACCAGGCTTTTCTGTGAGCTGTTCACCGTAATAGCTTTCAGTCTGTGCAGCTGTGCAAAATATGTAAGAAATAAAATGAGGGTTTTTTTGTTTTTGTTTTTTGTAAATTGGTTACATACAGTTAGACGCTTTGTATGTTTTCCCTCTGTAAAAGCTATTTTTGGAAACACCTATATCTTATTAAGACAGCATTGTGGAATGTTTGACCACATGGGTGAGGTCACCCTAACTTGGACCACAACCAAGACAGAAAACAACCACCATATTTGTGAAGAGTGATCATACATGCAGTGTAATAGAGCAACTAATTCTTTATTTAAACTTGTCACATCTGTTCTGTAAAGTCAGCATAAAAATTCTCCAAGACAGATTTTTATCATCTTTATTATTTTCATTCTAATGCTAACTGGTGTTCATTGTTCTTCATTTTCTAAATTGTTAAGATTGACTTTGAAGTAATTGATTTAAGAGTTTTCTTTTATAACTTAGGCAGTTAGTTCTCTTATATTTCCTTTTAAACAGTGTTATACCTTTTGATATTCTGTGTTCTAACTTTCATTCAATTCAAATACTTGCTATTTTCCCAATTTTGGTTTCTCTTTTGACCCATGGGTTACTAAAAATTAGGCTGTTTAGATCCAAATATTTGGGGATTTTTCAACTATCTGTTATTGATTTCTAATTTAATCTATTCTGGTTATAAAAACATGTTGTATGACTTGAACTCTTTTAAATTTATTGAGACAAATTTTAAGGTCTGGAATATGGTCTGTCTGCCCTGGCTGGTTTGGCTTAGCGGTTAGAGCATCGGCCTGCGGTCCAGAGAGACCCTGGTTCAGTTCCCGCTAAGGGCACGTACCTCAGTTGTAGTTTGTCCCCGGCCCTGGTTGGCTGTGCGGGTGGCAGCCACTCGATGTGTCCCTTTCACGTCGATGTTTCTCTCTCTCTCTCTCTCTCTCTCTCTCTCTCTCTCCCCCCCCCCCCCACTCTGTCTGAACAAAAAATGGAAAAAAAATATGGTCTGTCTCTGTAAATGTGGTGGTACATTTGAAAATAATGTATATTCTGTTCTTGGATGAAATAGTTTTAAAATGTCAATTAGGTCAAGTTGGCTGATAGTGTTAAGTCTTCAGTATCCTTACTGATTTTCTGTCTGCTTGTTCTATTGAGAGATGCATGTTGAAAACTCTCATAATTGTGGATTTGTTTATTTCTCCTTGTAATCCTATCAGTCCTTTACTCAACTTTAGGTACTTTCCACACATGTATGTTCTGTTCAGTTTTCAGATAAAAATTATTAAGAGTTTTTACTCAGGCCCTGATCAGTTTGGCTCAGCGATTAGAGTGTCAGCCTGCGGACTGGAGAGTCCCAGGTTCAGTTCCTGCTAAGGGTACATACCTCAGTTGCAGTTTGTCCCTGACCCCGGTTGGAATTATGTGGATGGCAATCACTTGATGTGTCTGTCTCTCTCACATCGATGTTTCTCTCTTCCTCCCTCTCTCCCTCCTGCTCTATCTGAAGATTAATGCAAACATGTCCTCAGGTGAGGATTAAAAAAAAAAAAAAAGCAACATCTGGTTCAACTGGTGTGGCTCAGTGGTTGAGTGTCAACCCATGCGCCAAGATTCCCGGTCAGGGCACATGCCCAGGTTGTGGGCCCAAGCCCCGGTGGGGGGCATACAGGAGGCAGCCAATCGATATTCTCTGTCATCAATGTTTCCAGCTTTACTCCCTCTCCATTCTCCTCTCTCTAAAATCAATAAAGGAAAATAAAATGCAACATCTGTTCAAATCTCAGGCTAAGAAAGTTTTGCTTATATAACTTTTTCACCACTCGGGTTAGTAGTTCTGTCTCTTGGTCCTTATTATGCTTAGAGTATTCTTCACTTATGATAATCCTTGGTCCTTATTATGCTTATAGTATTCTTCACTTATGATAATCCTTAGCTGTCTGTTCCACTTAATAATAATATGATTTGATCATCCTCGGTAGGTGGCAGGCCGTTCTTCAGATACTGTCACTGTAGATCTGTTTTCCCAAATGGCAAGGGTTACTGGGATCTGTATATTACTGGGAGGGGCTGGAAAGTCAGTGAGAGATTGCAAATTCCAAAAAGGTTTCCATTGAGGCCATCAATTCTCCCTGTAGCTGCCCTAGTTCACCATAAGTCCATTCAGTTTTTTCATAATTTAACTTGTAAAAATGGTATTATTACATTCTTGTTTAAAACTTCAAATATTACTAACACTAAATTGCCTCTTGACCAGAATATCCAATCACAGACCCCTTCCCAGAAGAAACACTTATCAGTTAAATGTGTCTGTCCTTTTTTCTAAGCATTCACATACTCATATAAATGTATCAGAAATATTTTTTAAAATATAACTGTTTTCTGAAAAAAATGGTTTTTCAATCAATGTCTTTTAGTCAAATTCATGTCAATATACAGTCCATTCACTTAGGCTGCTGCTAGTATTTCTAGTCATGGCTCTACTCATGGAAGTTTACATTGTTTTCAGTGTTTCATGTACTAACCATACCACCTTCCAAAGGAGCTACAGTGAATATTTTTAAACCTTCAGTGCTTCCAAAGTAGCAGTGATGAGAATACTATTTTCTCCACACCACTGACAATGTTTGATACATTATTTAAATTTTCACCTCTTAATACTAGGAAGGTTAAGCAGGGACTCATTTACTGCCCATCTGTATTTCTCCTCTGATTTGCCCATCCTTATCCTTTGTCCATTTTTATACCTGCTTAGTTGTCCTTTATTCATTGATTTATAGGTATTCTTACATCTCTCCCTTTGTATTATGAATATTATCTTCCTTTCTGTTGCCTACCTTTTAACTTTGTTTAAAAGCATGCTATCTTTTGATATCAACACCAAAGTCATAAACATACCCTACTATATTTTCTTCTAATACTTTTACTAACTTACTTTTATATTTAGGATTTTATTGTACAGGAAGTCATTTTTGTGGGTAGTGTGAAATAAGAATCCCATTCAGTTTACTTATAGAAGAGGGTGGAGTCTGGGAATCTGTTGGCAGGGGATACTAACATAACTTTCAATAGAAAAGTAGTTAACAGTCCTGTCATCATATCTCCTCAGTATCCCTAGCCTCTACATAAGCCAACTCAGAGCATGAACCTCTCTAGGGATCCTTTGTTAATGGGTTCCCATTACCGAATCCCCTACCACGCAAACATTTCAGGTAGCAGTTCCTTGTGCTACATCTTATGAATAAACACATTTCTCACTTTTGCCTTTTACAGAATTTAACTTTCATCCACTGATGACCATCTTTCCTGCTTTTTGTTTTGTACCTTTTACATTGTTTTACCTGTTTACTGGGATATGAATGGGAAATACAATTGTGTGCTGTTTATTTTATTTTTTATTATTATTTTTTAATCCTCACCCGAGGACATTTTTCCATTTTTTTGTTCAGATAGAGTGGGAGGGAGAGAGAGGAAGACAGAGAGAAACAGCGACGTGAAAGGGACACATTGAGCGGCTGCCACCCTCACGACCAACCAGGGCCGGGGACAAACTGCAACCGAGGTACGTGCCCCTAGCGGGAACCGAACCCGGATCTCTCTGGACCGCAGGCCGACGCTCTAACCGCTGAGCCAAACCGGCCAGGGCGTGTGCTGTTTATTAACTGCAAAAGAAAATCTTGGTTTGCCCAATGAAAATTGATATTGGGAAGTTGCCTTTCACAAAGGTTGTACAACTCATTCTTCTGCACTCAGCACACACATCTCCTTTGATATGTTTTTGCAATGCAAATAGTTCTTTGGTTTATTTTTATTTATTTATTTATTTATTTGATCCTCACCTGAGGACATTTTTCTATTTTTTTGTTCAGGTAGAGTGGGAGGGAGAGAGAGGAAGAGAGAGAGAAACATCGATGTGAAAGGGACACATCGAGTGGCTGCCACCCGCACGACCAACCAGGGCCGGGGACAAACTGCAACCGAGGTACATGCCCTTAGCGGGAACCGAACCCGGGTCTCTCGGGACCACAGGCTGACGCTCTAACTGCTGAGCCAAACCGGCCAGGGCCTTTGGTTTAACTTGTATTTCTTCCGATCCTACTGAGATTCCATACTTACATGTTCATCACTTACCTGTTGCCTTGTCATACCCTTTGCTCATAGGGAGAGAAATGTCATTTTCTAAGTGATTGTAGGAGCGCTTCTATGTTAAGGATATACATTTCATGGGTTAAGGATTTCTTCTAATTCTTATGTTTAAACCTTTTGTTTATACTATCTTTGACTATATAAACACTTAATAAAGTTCTTACACAATCAAACCTAGAATCTTCGTGCGTGGCTTCTGGATCTCATGTCATTTAGGAAGACTGTTCTCGCTCCACGATTATAGAGTAGTTAGTGTCCTCTAATCAGTTTCACACTAGGATACCATAATGAGGGGATCATTTTGTACAGAGCAGAGTCAATTTTATCAATACTGTTAAGCCACTGGCATGAAATACCACCTCTATTACCTATCTTCTTTATATGTATATCTGTGTGAATGTATATGGGTATGTTCATACAGACACACGTGTGTGTGTGTGTGTGTGTTTTGTGGTACGTGCCCCTAGCAGGAACTGAACCTGGGACTCTTTGGTCCGCAGGCCAACGCTCAACCACTGAGCCAAACTGGCCAGGACCAGAGACAATCTTTCAAGCCTTTAAGAAAATTTTCTTAGGATTTTGTACGGTACAAGGAATCTGTACATGAATTTTGAGCCTAGTAACAACAGTGTAATGCTGAGTCTTCTGCAGGAGGATGAGTGTATTCAAGTCTTTCTTTCACCGTCTATTAACTTTCATCATTTTCCTTGTACCTGTATTCATGTGAGTTGATTAATGCATTGATTGCATTTTCGAAGAGTCAGGAAATAATAGAAAGTGTAAAACAAGTCAGATATAAGGGAATAGGGAGTGGTTTGAACTGTGGTGAACTGGATAACACATGCCCACCTAGATGTATTCATATTCCTTTTAAACTTGATGCATACCATCCCTGGCTGAGTAGCTTAGTTGGTTAGAGCATCCTCCCAGTATGCCAAGGTTACGGGTTTGATCCCTAGTTAAGGCACATACAAGTAACCAGTGAATGCATACATACATGGGACAACAAATCGATGTTTCTCTCTAAAATATCATATTAAAAAATAAACGATGCATACCAAATCAAACATGTTTGTGGGCAGCCAGTTTGAGTATCGACCTATAGTTTTGGTTTCTTTTCCCCTCGTCTTGGAATTATGGTATAGAAGCTCAACAACTTTTTCCATTTTATCTTGTTTTAATTTTTATTTTTAGAGAGAGAGAGAAACATTGATATGAGAGAAACATTGATTGGCTGCCTCCTGCACGCCCCCTACTGGGGATTGAGCCACAACTCAGGCATATGCTCTGACTGGGAATTGAACCAGGACCTCTCAGTCCATGCAGTAACATTCAATCCACTGAGCCACACCAGCGGGCAACTTTTTCCATTTTTTTTCTTTTTTGGGGAGGGGAGCAGTAACTTTTTCCATTTTAAAGAACACGTGTTAATATAATATATCCAGTTGGAATTAGGGGCAGGGGTCAAACTTATACTTTATTTTTTAGCCTTCTTTGGTTATTGATCTTTTCAAGTTTTCTAAAATATCTGTTGCCTTTTTGTTTAAATGTAAAGGAACACTATCTCAGTAAATTCTACTTATCACAAGTTGATTTTTAAAATCTGGCTTCTTTGAACCATTGAATATGCAATGAAGTTAGTTTTTCTTACCAACAAACTTGTATCCCTATATATTCATGCTGAACTAGAAGCCACCATCTCACTCTATGTAGTCATGTACTCGAACACCAATCCTATTGTATTAGATACCCTGGTCACCCTCCTTTAGAATGATGACCACTGTTCCTAATCAAGTCTTTAAAGCCTCTGGAGTCTTGAGCTACTGCGTTTGTTATTTTTCAGCTGATCATTGTCAAGGTGATCATGTCTTCTTTGTATACCACTATAGCTTTTTATTTTACACTAACATTTACTGAGCAAATATTTATGCTACGCACAGTGCTGAGTCATTTGCATGCATTATCTCATTTAATGCTCCCATTAACTTTCGAGGTAGTACCATTATTATTCCCATAACATAAATAAAACTGAACCTTACAAAAGACAAAATATTTCTCCATAATTAGAGTGCTAAAAAAAATGGAAGAGCAAGGGTTAGAGCAAAGATCTATTTGATGTTGGCATATAAAATCTTAATTTTGGGTAAGTCTCCAGAGAGTGAGATGGATATTGGCATGAGATGGGGCTTTACAGGTAGACTGGAACAAGGTATTGAGGGAAAGGTCTTTTAGGTTATTTTGAAGGATGTGTGCTTTAACCTAAGAACTATGGGATGCCACTAAGGGGTTTTAATGATTGATGTGATCAAACTCGTTTTAATACAAGTTTGTCTGCAGTGTGACAACTGACAAAGTAAGTGGTAAACATAGGAAACCAGTTAGAGAGCTATGTCCATAGTCCATGTCAAGTAGATTGTTGTGTACTAGACAAAGATAATGGAGTGGAAATGATGAAAAGAGTGAGACTCAAGGCATATTTAGGAGATAAAACCTACAGGTCTTGGCAGATGACTGGACATGGAAGGTGGGAGAGAAGAAAGACTCAAGAATGACTCCATAGTATGAATTCTCTCATGATGAGCCAAATGTGCACGCTGCCTGAAAGATTTCCTGCAGTCCTTACATTCATAGGGTCTCTCTCCAGTGTGAATTCTTTGATGCAGGGTAAGAGAGCCACTATAGCTAAAGGCTTTCCCACACACGTTACATTCATAAGGTTTCTCTCCAGTATGAATTCGCTGATGCTGAGCAAGGCCTGCATTCTGGCTAAATGTTTTCCTGCATTCCTTACACATATAAGGTTTCTCTCCAGTATGACTTCGCTGGTGTTGTGCCAGTGATGAACTATTGCTAAAGGCCTTCCCACATTCAATGCATTCATAGGGTTTCTCTCCAGTATGGACCCTCTGATGCTGATCAAGGTATGCAATCTGGCTGAAGGCTTTCCTACATACTTTACATTCATAAGGTTTTTCTCCAGTATGAACTCTCTGATGCTGAGCAAGGTGCGCATACTGGCTGAAGGCTTTCCTACATTCCTTACATTCGTAAGGTCTCTCTCCAGTATGAATCCTCTGATGCACAATTAGGTAACCACGATGGCTAAAGGCTTTCCCACACACATGACATACATAAGGTTTCTCTCCTGTATGAATTCTCTGATGCTGAGCAAGAAATGAACCATTACTAAAGGCCTTTCCACACTCGATACATTCGAACGGTCTCTCTCCAGTATGAACCCTCTGATGTTGAGTCAGGTGTGCAATCTGGCTGAAGGCTTTTTTACACTCATTGCACTGATAAGGTTTCTCTCCAGTATGAACTCTCTGGTGTTGAGCAAGGTGTGCATTCTGGCTAAAGGCTTTCTTACATTCTTTACATTTATAGGGTTTCTCCCCAGTGTGTATTCTTTTATGTTGAGCTAGGTTTGCACTCTGGCTGAAGGTTTTCCCACATTCAACACAGGCATAGGGTTTCTCTCCAGTATGAATTCTCTGGTGAAGAGTAAGCGATGAACTCTGGTTGAAGACTTTCTCACACTCATTACATTTCAAAAGTTTCTTTTCTACACAGACTTTCTTATGCTTCATTTCAACAGATTTTTTTCGGTAACTTCTCTTTTGTGGCTCATGCTTATGTACTTTTTCTTTGGTGGGAAAACTCTGTTTTATAGCAAATATTGCATCCTGGTGGAAAGCTTGCCAAGATTTAGTATATTCACTACTTTGATCTTCAGTGAGGATTTCCTTATGCATGATAATCAGTTGACTAGGATGTATCTCTTTACTTGCCAAATTGTTCTTAAACCAGTCCCCACTTTTACAGTCTTCACTCAAACTGGGGCAGTCAAGGCTGTAACTTAGATGGCTTCTTCCCATTGTCACTATTTTGGATGATTCTTCATAAGTAACTGGCTTTGATGAAAATCCACAGTTTTTAAATGCATATTCCCAATCTGAAAGATAGTAAGAAAAAATCTTGTGTTTATGCAGTAGAAGAGAACTTTGAAAACAAAAATCAGTAAATAAAAAACATAAGTTTGAGTATTTAACAGCTGTTAAATATAGTCTAAAAAGTATGATATTATAGCCTGGCCGGTTTGGCTCAGCGGTTAGAGCATTGGCCTGCAGACCAGAGAGTCCCGGGTTCGGTTCCCACTAAGGGCACGTACCTCGGTTGCAGTTTGTCCCTAGCCCCATGGGGTTGTGTGGGTGGCAGCTAGTCGATGTGTCTCTCTCACGTCAATGTTTCTCTCTCTCTTCCTCCCTCTTTCCTTCCCGCTCTATCTGAAGATAAATGCAAAAATGTCCTTGGATGAGGATAAAAAAGTATGATATTATAAAGAACAAGAACTTAAGAAAGTTGATTAAGGGCATAAATTAATCATATTTAACCAGTAAGGTAACTATCAGAAAAATTAAAAATTGAAGAGGTCATTTAACATCACAATCATCACTTTATAATACATACGTGTGTGTGAGAATGTGTAAAACAGTCTCCAACCACCCTTCTTCTTTTGCCTCAGTTTATCCTACATTCAAGATATGTTCATCCTCTTTAGAAAAGCCAATTTCATAATTTCAGGGTGGCTTGAAAACCTCCATGAAATCCCTAAACCCAAAGACACACCAGATACTATTGGCTGGGCTATACATGAAACTATGTTTACTTTGGCAGTCTGAAAAAGGTCTTCCTGAATATCATTTTCTATGAGATACATTCCAACCAAATTAAAATTTTTAGTTGATCCCTGAAGCTGAGATGGTTCATAATGAAGTAATTTTGTATCAAATTGCTTGATTTTATTAACTTGCCACAGGCCTTAATTTGCCTTCCCCTTCCATTCCCAAATCAAATCACCTATTCTTCTGCTCAAGATTTGCCAGTGTCTTCTCACCACTTTTATAATAAAACCAAAATTTTTATCATGGTTCATAAAACCAATGTAGCACATGAACATAAACTTATATAAAACCTTTAATAACATTATAGCAAATCAAATCCAGGAAATATGAAGCATAATCATGACCAAGTATAGTTTATCACAGGAATGCAAGGTTGGTTTAATATGTGAAAATCAATCAATGGTCACTACACATCAGCAGATTAAAGATGAAAAATCATATGATCATTTCAATAGATGTAGAAAGAGTATTTTACTAAATTTATTTATAAAATTTTCAGCAAACCAGGAATAGAAAGAAACTTCCTAAAACTGAGAAAGGGTATCTAAGCAAACTAACTAACATCAACTTAATGGTGAAAGGTTTCATCCATTTCCCGTTAAGATTGAGAGCAATTCGCCCTGGCCGGTTTGGCTCAGCGGTTAAAGTGTCGGCCTGCGGTCCTGAGAGACCCGGGTTCGGTTCCCGCTAAGGGCATGTACCTCGGTTGCAGTTTGTCCCCGGCTCTGGTCAGTCATGCGGGTGGCAGCCACTTGATGTGTTCCTTTCACATCGATGTTTCTCTCTTTCTCTGTGTTCCTCTCTCTCCCTCCCACTCTACCTGAACAAAAAATGGAAAAATGTCCTCGGGTGAGGATTAAAAAAAAAAAAAAAAAAGATTGAGAGCAATTCAAATATATCTGCTCTTACCAATTCTATTCAACACTGTACAGGAGGCCTAACTAATGTAATAAATCAAGAAAAACAAGGCATAAGGATCAGAAAGGAATAAAACGGTATTGACAGATAATATGACTGTCTATGCAGAAAATACTCAACTACTAGAATAACTAGCTGAATCTAACAAGGTTATAAGATATAAAATTAATATAGAAATCACTTTACAGCCTGGCCAGTGTGGTTCAGTGGACCGAGTATCGTCCCATGGACTGAAAGTTCCCAGTTCGATTCCCGGTCAGGGCACATGCCCAGGGTTTGGGCTCAATCCCCAGTACAGGGCATGCAGGAGGCAGCCAATTGATGTTCTCTCTCACATTGATGTTTCTCTCTCTCTCTCTCTCTCCCCTCCCTTCTTCTCTCTCTAAAACATCAATAAGAACTTTTTTTAAAAAATCACTTTACATTCTTGCATACTAGCAGTAAACAACTAGAAGATGGAGTTTTTAAGAATTTTATTTATAATAACACATAAAAGTACAAGACTCATAAAAAAATTGTTTTAGATATTTAAGACCACTACAATGGATTCTACAGAATATTGCTAAAGAAAGACGACTAACAGATGGCTAAAGAAACCATACTCGTGAACTGGAAAACTCAATGTTAGAATGTCAGTTCTCCCCCAAGTTGATGTATAGATTCATCATAATCCCAATCAAAATCCCAGCAGAATTTTGGGTAGAAATTCTCAACTTCATTCTAAAACTAATATGGAAATGCAAATGATCTAAAATAGCCAAAGTGATTTTACAAATTGAACTATCTGATACAAAACTTACTAGAAACCTACAGATATCAAGACAGTAAGGTACTGGTGAAAGAAAGGCTAGATATACAGATCAATAGAAGAGACCCAGGCATTTATGGTCAACTGATTGTCAACAAAGGTACCAACAAGCCAATATAATGGGGAAAGGAAAGTCTTTACAACAAAGGGTACTGGAACAACTGAATATCCAAAGGTGGGGGAGAATGAACTTTAATCTTTATCTCACACAAGATACAAATTGAGCTCAGGGGATCATATACCCAAATGTAAAAAATAAAATATAAAATTCCTAGGAAAAAACATAGAAGAAAATGTTGGTGACCTGGGAGTAGAAAGAATTTCTTAGCTATGGCAAAAAAGTACCAAGACAAATTAATAAATTGGACTTTATAAAAATTAAAAACTTAGGATGTTCAAAAGATAGCAATAAAAAAAACACACAAACCACAACTGGCATACATATATCTCAATACATATAAATGACAAAGGACTTGTACTAAGATTATCTAAAGAAAGTATTCTCACAACTCAGTAAGAAGAAAAGCCCACTACAACATGGACAAAAATTTGAACCCTTCACAAAAGATATGAATGGCCAATAAGTTCATGAAAAAAGATGCTCAACATTATTAGTAAAAAGAATAATGAATAAATAAATATATCACTCCTTCAAACTAAAAGAAATGAGTGACTAAAAAGGAAAAACAGAGGCATTGCTGTGTCTGAATTTTTTTAATGTGATGGAGTGACTTGTGCAAAACTAAAAAGCAAGGACAAGGAGACCCTGTGACATTTGGACCCAGAGAACAGGATAGGTTATCAGAGAAGGTAACTTGTGAGAGGATATATACAAGGAGAGTAAGTGGGGGAGCTCATGCTAAAGATGCCTCAATGTTTGTCCCAAGCCTGGAGCCTCTAAGAAAAGCTATCCAGAAAATACTGATTACAAGCTAGAATCTTTCAGAATGGCAGAGCTTTTTTCTTGCAATGGCCTGTACCTCCCTCATTCTCTCACTCACCACAGCATGAGCCTCCTGTCCCCACCTTCTTCACCATCCAGGGCTCTTTTCCTTGCTCCAGTAGTGAAATCACCTCTGGTTTACAAACCGAAACTCCTGCTTAAAAGAAATAAAGGGGCAATTAGCCAGACCCTTAAATCAGATCAGGTCCTTGGTCATCAGGAGGTAGGGGCATTATAGAAGGGAGTTAAGGAAGAGGAAGTATTCTGAAGGATGAGGAAAAGGAAGTTGCAAGAAGAGTCAAATGAAGCTGCCAATTCTATAAAACTCAATCTATTCTGGGGAACACCAGAAAGAGAAATTCAGTGAAGTACACCAGAGGTTTCCCAAACATTACATTGGAGAACAGCCCCATGTGCAGATTCTGAAATACAGGGAGACCTTACCCAGTGATGCCATGTTCTTGTAGTTCTCTAACATCACCTTCCTGTACAAATTCCTCTGAGCAAGATTCAGCCATTCCCACTCTTCTTGAGAGAAATCTATAGCCACATCCCCAAATGTCACCAAATCCTGAAATGACATACACATATTCTAGTGTTCTTACCCTCTCATGGGCGTAGTTTGAAGAGCTAAATCATCTATACTTTTGGAGAGAAATATTACATATAGTGAACTTTTTCTGGTAGAATCTTAGATTCTGAGCAACACATTTCAAGTAATCGCTGGATAACTTTTCTCTGCTTAGTTTTGATAGTGCCGTGGTACAAGTTCAGAGTCTCTGCTGATGGAGAAAAGATTTGTAACACACACAAAAATGGGCAATAACATTAAACAATCAAGTGAAAAATGATACATCATTCATAGTAAATGCTGGAGCATTTCTCAATGTGGAAAATCAAGATAGACTGGGGCAGTGAAGAAAGGCTTCGAGGAAGAGACAGGAACAGAAGTTAAGCCTTCCAAGATGCATGTGCTCTAAACCAGCATTTTTCCAAACTCTATGGTGGAATGTTCCAGATATATTAATAGGAGGATGTGTGTGTGTGTGTGAACACATACATATACATATATACACACATCCAATACATATACATCCTATGTTATTGATGCTTATGATATCGATTTTCTAAAATTAAATATATTTGTAATAAGATAGGAAGTAAGTTTTATAGTGATTTTGCAAAAATATAATTTAAACCAATGTAAGCCATCACGGAGAACAAGCAGGGGCAACAGAAGATTCTCTAACAGCTCCCGATAACTCCAGAGTTTCAAAGACAGTTGGTAACCTATCATGCTACTTAGGAGACAAAATAATGGTAATTTTAAGCACTGCTAATTAACTTAAATAGTGAATACTTCCAATGTGATCATTAAGTGCATCAAAAACACCCAAAGTCCCATTGGAGGGACACACCCAACTTCACATGCCTAATGAGTGAGACAGCTTTTGAATGTTAAAAGACAGCTAGCTCTCAAATACCGCTACTGTATGTTGAATTAAGGATCTTATTCATAACATGGAACAAGACCTAGTCTTCTCCCTAAAAATTCAAAGTGGGTATCCTTTCTAAGAGGTACATCAGCTCCAGACTTACCAGGGCTTGCTACATGGTTTCGTACATGCTTCTTAGGTTTGGTATATCATACAGCAATACCCACTCTTGGTTAGGCTGATGGACAGATGGCACTCAATGAGACACACCTGGACAGCTGAAATGGCTGGTCAGTTACTGAATTACTGCTACACAGGTTGGTAAAAACCTACTGTGTGGAGCCCTGCTGGTGCCCATGCCAGATCTCCCCTCAACCAAGCAATGGACAGGGAGGCCCAGCATGGCAACAGCCTCAGGGACCCCAGTGGAGTAAATCTGTGTGTTCCCCAGCCTTAGTGGTTGTCAGATAAACATCCCTCCCATTCTTCCCATAACGCTCCTACTGAAGATGTATTTAAGCACATCAATGATTTCACACAAAAACAGTTTTAATGGGGGAAAAAATGAGTCTATATATGAATTGTTACTGCCTGAGAACTGGACAAAAATGTTAAGAAGCCTATAAAGGAAGCAAAAATACTGACTCCAAGAAACATCAGTTACATGCATCAGCTTCCATGTGACATGTTTCCATCTCTGAAACACTTCAGAATCCAGGGCACTCTCAGAAGTGAGTAAAGCTTCAGGAAAAAAGGGAACATGAGTCAGGTCTGAAAAGATGAACCTTGTGCTAGACAGGCTGGGCACTGGCAACTATTAACTCTATTGAAACTCAGACTTCCGGTACAAACTCTAGAATTTTGTGTGAAAAAGTGTTCTTCGTACATCATTTCTTCTGTAGATATAGGTGAGGTAGGTTTTGCTATAAAATACATTCTTACCCAGTCAGTGTGGCTCAGTGGTTGAGCATCGACCCATGGACCAAAAGGTCACAGGGTTGATTCCCAGTCAGGGCACATGCCAGGGTTTGGGGCTCAATCCTCACTGGGGATGTGCGGACAGCCGATCGGTTTGTCTCTCTCATCAATGTTACTATCTCTCCCTCTCTCTCTCTAAAAATCAATAAAACCATATCTTAAAACGAATTATTTCACTGCACCTGAAAATCTAATGGATTCCAGGTTTTAACTATCTTATTGACATTTTTCTCTTGGCCAATGAGACTTGACTACCTTTCAAACATTTTTATATTTATTTTGTTGTGATAAAACAGATTTTTCATACAATTCTGTCATCATTAGGGAAACTTAGATAATAATATTCAGCATTTCTACCTTCAGTGAATTTTTTTACTTTTTAAGTTCAAAAATTGGACGTCCTCCAACCCCCTCCACACCTACCCACCATGTTACCCCACCTCTTAGAAGCAATCAAAATTTACAGTTAGTATATATTTGTTTAAATGTTTCCTTATACAGACATGCCTATGATTACCTATCCACAGTCATTTATTTATAACATCAGTTTTATTGGATGGATAACATTACAAGGTATAAGCATGTCATATCTTACTTAATAACCCCTGATTATTTTTAGTTATATGAATCTTCATTATTCTCTCTAATGCTGCAATGTTTCTATTTTCTTAAAATAAATTTCTAGACGTTTTTGCCTCCATTGAGACTAGGATTTCCCAAAATTACTTAACCTCAGAAAAAATTTTAAATTACACTATTTTGACCCAGCAAGAATAGGAGCTAATGAAAAACAATTCAGACTGGGAGTCAAGTACTGACCTGCACTCAAAGAAATACTAATAAGGGTTCCTCGGGTAGAAGAAAAATAAAAGGAAATGGAAGTAGAGAAACACAGCAAGAAATTAAGAGCCCCAAACAGTAACTACAAAACCTCTTTTTCCTCATCTGTACAATGAAAGATATGGACAAATTCACCCAGTTTTTTCCTGGCTTTATCATTTTATAAGCCTAGATCTATGCTGTCCAATACAATAGCTACTAATCGCATACAGCTATTTAAATTTAGGTCAATTAACATCAAAAATTGAGTTCCTCGCCCATCCGGTGTGGCTCAGTGGATTAAGCGTCATCTGGACTGAGAGGTCCGGGTTCGATTCCCGGTCAGGGCACACGCCTGGGTTGCAGTCTCGATCCCCAGTAGGGTTTGTGTGGGAGGAAACCAATCAATGTCTCTCTCTCACATCGATGTTTCTATCTCTCTCTCCCTAAAAAAGTCAATAAAAACATAATGGGAAAAAAAATACATCATTATAAAAACCCAGTTCCTCAGTTACACTAGCGTCACACAGCCACATGTGGCACATTTCTGTCATCAGTCATCACAGGAAGTTCCATCAGACACTGTTGATTTCTGCTTCTGGCTCAGCTTCCTCTTTAAAACCATTCTCCATATTTTCAGTTAGCAGTTTACATGGTTTCATTTTTTAGATTTAACCTACACAATGTAAGGAAGAAATTTTTTTTCCTAAATGAATAACCTATCCCTTCTCCACTGATTTAACATCATTACATTATATAATAAACAAACTAGTAGATACTAAATTCCATGTAGACAAAGACAGTTTTTATTTATCACAGTATTGCCAGCACTTAGGACAGTGTAAGTTTATAAACTATATGCTTAGTGAATGAATAAATTTTTGCTATTCTTATTTATATTTTAATTTGTTTCTAGACATTATATGCTGATCTTTTCATTTGTTCCTTCTGGCTCCCATTCCAAACTATGTACTGTTATAGAGGTATGCAGCCATTTTTAAATGTGGATTCAAGTGCTTCCTACTATTTTATTTTATTTATTTATTATTTTATTTTATTTATTTTATTATTTTATCATTTCATTTCATTTTATTTTATAGAGAAAGGAAGGTACAGGGAGAGAGGGAGAAACCTCGACGTGAGTGAAACACTGATCGGCTGCCTACTGCACACCCCTACGAGGGATCAAGCCTGCAACCTGGGCACATGCCCTGACCGAGAGCCGAACTGGCAACCTTTCAGTGCATGGGACGATGCCCAACCAACTAAGCCACACCGGCCAGGGCCTTACTGTTATTCTTTTACAAAAAATTCCCTGCTGTTTTTCCATATTAATTCCACTAATCTTAACTAGATAACTTAGAATATACTTGCTATAGTCCACTACTTACACAGGATGTCCCTAAAACAGGACCTTATTACTCCCACGGAATCCTACTCCTCACAGCCCACAGCATGCCTAAAAAATCCCCACCCTAGCAGATCCACACTTTACTACTCAAGACCCAACACATCCCATTCCTCAAAATCACCTTGAACAAGAGACCTTGTTCTGTACTGTGACTAAGACCACCCAACAGCTCTCACTTTGCCTTCCTCTCAAATCCAGGTCTGTGGAAAAGTTCTACGCTAGTGGTCACATCTGAATGCATACCTTGACCTCAATGAATCAAGTCCCTACAATGTAGGCTCTCATATCCCACCAAGGAGTGCACATTTGCCTCTGGAGAGCTACCAACTCATAGGAGGTGCTAAACTATTTCTTGAATGAAAATGAAAATGCTAAGAAAAAGAGGAAGCTCACTGGGCTTTGGGGGACCTATTTACTGGATTGGAGAACATGAGAACCAGGTCACTAATAAGTGTGACTTTGTTAGGCTGGCAAGTTTCAGAAGAAAACCAAAATGTTCATATAAATCTTGAAAACCAAGGCATTTCAGGAAAGGGAAAAGAAATGCTTCCTTACCTTGGACATGGCTTTACAAATTTAAGGATTTATGACAGCTCTTCTGTCCTCTTCCTTTAGGCTCCTCTCTGGTAGAAGGGCAGTGTCAGGAGAAAACAGATTGGGAGAGGGAGAAAGAAACCCTGCATCACCAGCCTAGAAACCCTCCTTTCCTTTTCTCCACCACAGATGTAGATTATAGAGGTATCACTGAATCGGTCATTCCTGTCTAAATTCACATTTCTTTTTCCTGCACTTTAGATCTCAAGAACCCAGTGTAAAATTTCTGTGTAGAAGTCAGCTCCTCATTTATAATTATAAACAATAACAGTTTCTACTCTTCAGAAAGGCACTACCAAGTAAGGATCCCCCCACACATACACACACATGAGGGCTCTTCAGTGAAATTATTCAAGGTTTCATGGTAATAAGTAATTGAGCCCAAGTGGAATCCAGGTCCAACTTTTAATCTTTCCACCAGATGATGATGTTGAAGGAAAATATGTCTCCACCATTCTCCAAAAATGAAAGAAGCTACACAGTGACTGCCTCAAAGAAAGCATCTTTATACAGAGTAGGCACCAGAGGGGTTATGTGATCTGCAGGACACTGGACCAGAGTCAGGACACGGTGCTTCTGGTCCTTGTTTAGGACAAACTGCACCTGAAAACCAATCTCTTCACTTTTCTGAGTAATTCCCCATGAGAGAAGGGGGTGAGAGCCTACACATGAAGTCATTGAAACCCCTTAATCAAGAATTATTTCTGGCCCTAGCAGGGTAATTCAGTTGGTTAGAGCATCATCTCAATATGCCAAAGTTTCAGGTTCGATCCCAGGTCAGGGCATATACAAAAATCAACCAATGAATGCATAAATAAGTGGAACATCTCTCTCTCTATCTATCTCTCTCTCCCCACTTCCTCCCTTATTCCCTCCTCTCTTTCTACAAAATAATTTTTTTTAAAAAGCTATTTTCTACTAACCTTACTGCCTTGGAAAGTAAAGCAGCACACTTAGAACCCCTAGGCTTGGGGATCAAAATGCCTCAAACACCCAATCCACCAACGCTCGTTAGCTCTACAACCTCCCTAGAGTTAGGGAACCACTCCAAACCTCAGTTCCCTCATGAGAAAAATGGCAGTGACTCCCTATCAGCTGTTGGCAGGGTCATGAGAGGATCCACGGAAAGCACTGAGCACAGGGCCTGGACAACCTTTGTGATCAGTCTGTTTCAGTCATTCCTCCATTTTCAGGAACAGCACACAGTAGGTCTCCCTTTCCTGTTCCTCTTCCGTCCTCACTAGGACGGAGTAGGAGAGAGATGGGAAGACCTTTTGCACCAGAGGGGACCAAGGTCCAGCAGGCTGGTCTTCTGCTGTCCAGGCCTAAGGCTGGGGCTCCTCTGTGTCTCCTCCTCCCCCACCCCGTCTTCTCTGCTGAATGTCCATCTCTGCTCCCTTCATCTCCCTGGAGCGCCGGCCTCCCCCGCCACACAAACCACAGGCCCTCCAGCGGGCAGCTCCCCTGGCAGCCCATGGACACGCCCCGCCCTGGAGCCTGCCCTCCCGTCGGTGTCACACAAGGCCACTGGGTCACACTCAGTCCCCAGGCCACACGATCTTACGCAGTCTCGCTCGACCGCACGCGCAGGCGCACAGTTGCCCACGCATTGTCACAGACGTGATCACATACGTTCTCCCAGCCACACACACGGGGTCGAGCTCCGTGCACACGGTCTCACTGTCACACACCTTCTCATCACACGGCCTCCCGGTGACACGGCCTCACACACGGTGATGCCGTCGTACACTCACACACGGTCGCACCCGGTCCCACTGTGTTCACACACGCGCCCGCCGGGGCTGCTCACCGCCTCCTCGCTGCGAGTGGGCCGAGGCCGGGGGCCCAGCATCCCCGCGGGCCGGGCCGGGGACTCGATCTCGAGGCCCACCGGCGGACTCACAAAGGGGCCGCGGCGCTTGGATGGGCAGCCGGCGCCGGCCGCACTGGTCGCTGGGAAATGGAGTCCAGGACCGGACGCGGCGCAGAGCATCCTGGGACTGCTCGCCGGGGCGCCTAGGTGGTCCCGCCTCCTCCTCTACACGGGCACCGCCCCCGTCCTCAGCCCTCTCAGGCCGGCTGTCGCACCGCCTCCCCGCCGAGTCCCGCCCAGGCCTAGGCCGCCGGCTCGGACTGCGCAGGCGCAGCATGCTAGAGGGGCCGAAGACGGCCAGGCCCGGTGCACGCGCAGGGCGCGCGTGGTAGGCCGGCTGGGAAGCGCAAGCGCAGTGGGCGTGCCTGGTGGGGTTCCGGGCCCAGCGCGGGCAAGGCGTCTGGGCGAGGACTCCGGGGGCGTGTGGGAGTGATTAAGCTTCAGGTTGTCTGGAATTTCTTGCTTTTCTTTTTCTGTTTTTTGGTGGGTTTTTTCCCCCCTTCTCCTTCCTGTCTTCGAAGCCATTTATTGAGCGCCTCTGTGTGCTAGGCACTGTCAACACGCAAAAATACCCCCTTCCCCATTTAGCTGACATTCTCACTCCAATTCTGCCACCATCCTGTTCCTAGATTAGGTCTGAGGTGGACATTCAGTGGAAGAGGGAGAAGACTGGCCCAGAGGCACAATCACTTCTGAGAAATGTAATTGAGCCCCACAAGTCAGGACAAGGAAAGAAGACAGGCCAGTTTATGGGCCCGAGATCTGAGTCTGGTCTGGTCATACTGGCTGGCCACGAACAACCCTTCCTTACTCTTGGACCTCAGGTTCCTCACTTTCAGCCTCATTATGGCTTTGTGGTCCAACTCAAATCCCAGTTAGGTCATGGAAATGCCCGATGCTCCGCCTACAGGGCTGACTAGCAACCCTGATGTTAATTCCATCTCCTGTAGTCGTTTCTTGAAAATGTCTGGCCCTGCACAAGGCTGGAATGGCCGGGTGACCTTCTATGAGCACCATCGTACCCCATCTCCTCTAGGTCCTAGTCCAGAGTCCAGAGTTTCTTTGGCTGTTTCCATGGGGCTTCATGGCCTCTGTGACATCATGTCTTCTGTCTCTGAAGATACTTTCTCCAAGATTCACATTAGATCACCCACCACTCAGAAAGCAGAGGCATTTCCTCCACCCACAGGTACTAAGGCCTTCTTTCCACACTCTGCCCCACAATTTCCAGTCAACTTGTTTCCCCAGACTGTATTGTTTGTATCAACTGACATCAATGCTCTGCCTTGGTTCCTCCTCTCTGCTTTGAGGTCCTGAATATGTCTTCAGAGAGAAAGCCACTGCAATAGCAGGATCTCCTTTCTTTCCCTTCTCTCGGGGATCAATGTCTTGCACTACCAGTTGTCCAACGTCTGAAAAGGCTGGTTCCTTTCACATCATCTAGTTTTTTTGTTTGTTTGTTTAGAGCGTGACGGCAAGTTTAGTACAATTACATCTTCATAGTTGGAAGCAGGAAATCCTTTTTTTTATTTTTTTATTAGGCATTTCCTTTTTTGGCACAAGATACCCATACTCCACTTGTCTATTTCCAAGGGGGACTCTGGACGTGGCTCCAGAACAAAATGCACCACCTTGGACAGGGAAGTTTTCCTCCTTCAGAGACCAGTCATAACAGGACCTGCCTGGCATCCAGGACATGGGACCCCTAACCACAGGGGACCGCGCTGCTGTCAGGATGTATACAGTCCAGGGCCTCCCATGCTTCCACAGACACAAGTTGAACTGCCGGTGGTGGTAGGGGACTTGGCCGAGATGTCACCCCATAACAGGTAACTCCTTGTCGTCTCGTTGAAGACATTTTGCCGATTTTGCATTCCCATTCACAATCTACATTTATTGCAACGTAGATATCATGTTTAAAACTGGTTATCAAATAAAGTCTTGGGCTTTTTCTTCCCTCCAAACCCTCTGGTACAATGGCTGCTCCACGGAAATGGTGACTGAATGGATGAGACAATTTCTCACACAAACATCCTTTTACTGAGTCACATACAAGCGTTGAACGGTCCCAATCACCGACCGGGTCAGAACCAAACACGACATACACCGTCACAAAAAGCACCGCACACGCAGTCACGGGCACTCACACACTCACGCACCAGCAGTTAGAGAGACGCTCGCACGCAAACAGCGCTTCCCACACACAGACCTTCATACAACAATCCTAGTAACAGAATACGCTCCGTCGTGTCCCTCGACGGCGCTCACGCGCGCACGCGAGCCCAGATCCCGCCCACTACGAAACATCGCGAGACCCGGCCTTAAGGCTCGGCCACGTCCTTTACAACCAAAGACTACGTTTCCCAGATAACACTGCGGCGCTGGCCCAATCGCAACGCGGCACCGGCTCGGCTTTGTGCGTCTGCGCCATCTTCCGGCTCCAGGCGGCGAGTCCGCCGGTACCGAGGAGGAAGGTCATCTGGCGCTGCGGGGGGGCGCAGCCACGGTGGCACCTGGACCTGAGGAGGCACCAGGTGAAGGGCTCCGGACCTTTCCGGGTCCTCCGGGGTCCGTGCGGGAGCGGGCGCCGCGACCGGACGGGTCTCGGGCCTGGGAAGAACCGGAACGTCTCTCCCTAGCGTCGGTCTGCGGCTTCCCGGGCTCTGGACTACATTTCCCATCGGCCCTCGTGGCACGCGCCCCACTGGCGCCCCCTTTCTGCTTCTCGGATCATAACCCGGATCCACGGACCCTTTAGGTGGGTTTGGAGGGGTCTCAACCCCGTGTTTTCCATTCATTCTTACGCATGCCTTTTTTTTCTTAATAATCTGGGGCCAAGTCTTGTTCCATGACATTCACAGAGTTGTAAGACCCCCAAGAGATTTAGAAGCAGAAACTTACACTTGGGAACATTTTAGAGAATTTTGTTCAAAATCTGTGTCCAACAGTGGGGAAAGGGGTGAGGAAATCCTGGGCCACAGTGATAAAATGTTACAGGTAATATTATAGGTAATACTAAAACAGTGGTCATAGGGAGGAAAAAATTATGTTACACAATATCAAGGAATATTTATAATTGTCTCATTTATACATTACTTACAATTAAATATTTGTTTTAAAAAAAATTTGTCCTGTGATGGCACTGCCCTAAACTTTATAAACAAATGATATCACTCTTAACAC